AAGTGTACAGTAAAACAACTTATTAACTGCATGCAGTAAGTGTACGGCAAAACAAATTTATTAACTGCAGTAAGTGTACAGTAAAACAACTTATTAACTGCATGCAGTAAGTGTACGGCAAAACAAATTTATTAACTGCAGTAAGTGTACAGTAAAACAAACTTATTAACTGCAGTAAGTGTACAGTAAAACAAACTTATTAACTGCAGTAAGTGTACAGTAAAACAAATTTATGATTATTATTTGCTGTACTGTGATATTTATATAACTTCATCTTCTCATGTACTGTAATAATAATATACTTATAAATAGTACTGAATTAAGTTTCCACTTGTAACAGATACTTCTCTAAATCACTAAAGATGTACAACAATATTTTATTTCAACAAGTAACAGTACAAGTCCGACACCAACTAACTGTAGTGATCTTAATATTCTTAAAAACCTACGTACAAAGTTTGTTAGCAGTTTATCCATTGCTCGTTAAGTATGCTCTACTGGATGTAGTTCGATAAAAGCGAAAACAAAAAAAAGTTAATTGAATAGTGTTACGGGCTGGCAAAAACATGCTGTTCAGTAGGTTACGGGGTCAGGGTTTTGACACATACAAACTTCATCCCTGTGCAATATTCTAATACTGTGTAACATGAATGATTATATAACCGACGTCACGTTTTATGGGTACATCGTCTCAACTTAGTCACATGTTATTCACGTTCAACGATGATCAAATCAGTTTCAATTATATATGCAAGTTTAATCTTTCATTGGTCACGATTGAGTATGACGTCATGCTACCAATTTAACAAAAATCCAACCAGCCTGTTATCGTGGATTAGAACAATCTGGAAGATGCTGAGTAAACGATTTCTAAACGGTCGGGTCAGGTGGGGGTGGATTGTTGCGCTTTCTTGCTTTTGGATTAATCTGTGTCTTTTTGGCGCGTTTCGTTCTTCTGGACTATTGTATGTTGCCCTGGTGGACACCTATAATTGTAGCCACGCCTATGCTGCATGGTCCTCTGCCCTAGCTGCCGCCTTAATGAATTTATCTGGTGAGTAATTACAAATAGAAGTGATAAATGTCTTATCTCTCTTAGCTCAAACTTCCCAATGTCAGTTCATTAAAGTAAATTGTTCATTTACTTAACAACTAACATCTCAATCCTAAAAATTAACCTTATATCTTGTATACGTCCTCTACTGGGATAGCGGTAAGTCTGCTGGTATATAACGCTAGAAACTTGGTTTCGATACCAGTCGTGCCCATTGTGTAGCTCTGTGCTTAACTACAAACAAACAAACAAATTTCTTGTATACACATATTTAATAGACATACATTCTTCAAGTAAACTATACCCCTTAATTTTTCTTTACTTTACTTACACTTGCACACATCGAAGAGATGACACTCCAAGTTACACTTTGATTGTTACACTTTATGGTTGGTTCTCATGTTCATATTTTAATACTTAAGTGAATAATTCTTGGTTAGTCTTCACTTCGATTCCTCTCTGTTTTAATAAGTCTTCTCCAATAGGAAAAGTAGAGTTATCTACATTCACACATACCGTCACTTGGCACGAATAGAGTTATCTACAGTCACACATACCGTTACTTGGCACGAATAGAGTTATCTACATTCACACATACCGTCACTTGGCACGAAT